CCCGGTGGAGGGTACTCCACGATAGAGTGCACCTTTTCAGGGTCTGGCCTAATACCCTCGCGGTTAATCAGCAAACCTAGATATTTAGCCTCAGGCTTGCAGAAGACGCTCTTCTCTCGATTAATCGAGAGTCCGGCTCGACATAACCTATCCAATACGATCTTAAGATGTTGCAGGTGATCTTCGAATTTGGACGATACTACGATGATATCATCCAAATAGGCGAAGGCGAACTCGCCAAGCTCCGGTCCGATCACACTATCTATTAACTGTTGGTAGGTGGCACCGGCGTACGAGAGACCGAATGGCATTCGTACGAACTGGAAATGCCTCAATCCGGGCACAGTAAAGGCAGTGATAGGTCGAGATTCGGGTTTGAGCGGTATTTGGTGATACGCACTACTGAGGTCGAGTGTAGAGATATAGCGTGCGTTTCGTAAGCGCCTCAATATATCTTGCATAAACGGTAGGGGATACGCGTTTGGCACGGTGACCATGTTGACCTTCCTGAAGTCTATACAAAATCGGTACGAGCCATCCTTCTTGCGTATCATAACCACTGGGCTCGACCAGCCGTTGCCCGCTGCCTCGATTACCCGTTGGTCTAACATCTCCCTTACCAATCTATGCATCTCTTGTTCGATCTTGTGCGACACTGGATAGTAGCGCTGCTTGATCGGTTTCGTATCACCGACCCTAATCTCGTGTTCAATGCCTGCCGCACATTCCAGTCCCACTGGGGCCTGCGATAAGGCCTCGCTGATGGTCCTCTGCAATATTGCCTGTTGAGAGGCTGTTACCTCGGCTAGTCCGATCGTAGCTAATCTCGAACCAGCCTCTAAACTAGCTACCTCTAACTTCATCTTGGCTTGTGATTTCTCGAACAGCATCGTATCATTGTCGGGGTCAAGTACCGCTCTAAACAGTCTAACAAAATTCACTCCTAGGATACATTCATCGACTAGGGTTGGGAGTATAGCTACCCTCGTCGGCATCGTCACGTCCCCTACGGTGAACGGCAATACGGCGTGACAAACAATCGTCAACTTACGGCCATCTGGTAGTCCTGCTGTACCCGCGTGGGTGGTATCCAACCTGATGCCTAGCACAGACGCTATTTGCAGAGCATTACTACCTATTGCTGTGGTGGAAACTCCCGGATCATAGAGAGCCTATATCTGGAAGTCTCCGATTTTCACCGGTAGCCACCAGCGCGTTTCCTGTTCCGGGGAATATCGCGAAACAGATTCGGCGGATCCACAGCCGTGCTCTTTGCACACCATAGCGCTAGCCACTATGCTCTTGCGTGGTAAAGTGACGCCACTTGTCGTTTGAACCACCTTGGTTCGGACGACCGGAGTTTCCATGGGGTTACCCTTTGACGGTATTTCTGCCGTTACCCGCGCCCCCGAGGGCGTGTGCAATCCATTCGCCACCACCTCGGTCGGTCCAGGGTCTAGGGCTTTACCAACATCAATATCCTCTCTCTCCATGTTCACTTTACCGCCACGTTCATCATTTGCGCAACCAGGGGAGTTCTCGCTCTCGTCGCTACTATCGGTGCTGACTGTGTTGGCGAAGGCCGCGAGATCTCGTTTACGGGGTTTATTTTAGGGGATGAAGGAGTGGGGTCAATCCCAACTTAACCACTCCATTCCTCGTTTCCCTTGTTGCATTGGGGACAGTACTTTTGGCTGTACCCCAGTAATCCGCACTCGATGCACTTGAGTGGCTTGGAGAAGTCTCTCTCCCGTCTTCGAGGGGCTTCCGGTTTCCTAGTGCGGTCCTCTAAGGTCAAGTTTTTCCCAACGAGGTTGTGCTTCATCTCTTCAGATATCTCCTTGAGAGATAATAGAACTTGGCTCAGTAGATCGGCGGGTGGAGCCTTCTTTTCGCCTTCATGTCGGCGCCATATTAGGCCTATCATGTCGACGATGTAAACATTCACGGGTTCGTCGGGGCCCTTATATCGGCTCTGAATTTCCCTCATCAGACGCTGTTGCTGCTGCACGCTGGTCCCAAACCATTCCTTTGCGTCCATCTCGAATTCGGCGTAGGAGAACCATTCCTCCTTCATCGCCTCGTACCAGGTGAGGGCGGGACCGACGAGTAGCTCCGACACCGTTAGGAGCATTTCGTCTTCCGTGAGTCCCGCGCCATTCCTCAAGTTGTCCAGCCTAGACAGGTAGGTGTCAATACTCGCATTACCCTCTACTGAAAACTTCAGTTTCCATCCTCGGACAATACGATCAACATCCCTTGTAGTCGACCAAGGGTTTGTTGTCTGCTGAGATGGCCATGTGCTCGGTGGGTGGTTATTCACTTCAGCATTAACTCCACTGAGTTGATGCTGTCCACCCTCTCCGAAAGGGAGCGTCCGGCGGGGGGTCCTGCCGGTGGCCCCTATGGGTCTCTGTCCGGATCCAGCTGGAGTACTGTGAGGTAACCTGGTGTCGTAATGATAGGTGAAGGTGTCTTGGAATGCGACGCTCCTACGCGTGTTTCCTTGTTGTCGCATTTTGCTAGAATTATTCGCATTATCTTGCCGTACATTCCTGTTTTCGGCATTTTCTAATGCGCTCACATTCTGGCAGATAGGTCGTCCAGTTGGCTCTTAACATTGCTGCAGTTGTTGTATATCTGGTCTAATATTTTCGTTAGACTCGACACGTTTACTCTTAACGAGTCTAGGAGCTTGAGCTTCTTCTCATTTTCTCGGGACCGGAAAATGAGGTCTTGGATCATTACCGCAAATGTCGGCGGGAGTTGAAATTGGCTACCATCCCCGTAGCCATTGTTGTAATATTCTTAGCCGTTATCGTAATATTCTTATTACTGCTAGAACTCTCGCCGTCGTCCAGTACGTTTGTCATGTTTATCGCTGTTTCCTGAATCCGCGATATCACCTCTGCACTTTGCATTAGCTGGTCTAGCGGGTGTTCACCTTCTTGTTCGGATACTGTGTGTTCCGCGCATATGGATACTATGAGCTCCGAGCATAGGGCTGCCCTTCTTGCTGGATTGCTGTGTTGGTTGTCGACTTCCATGAAATCTGCCGCAGAGTAGTCGTCTAACAACCAGTTTTGCAGTCACCCAGCTCTCAAGAGCTTATTCTCGCTTTTCTTGAGCTCCAAGTGTTCGAGGTATTCGTTTATTTCCTCGTCTTGAAGCGTCAACACCCAGTCTTTGACTTCTTTTTGAGTGCAGTCCATTGTCATCTGTTAGTTATGTCGCGACTAGATTTTGTACAGATTTACACGCTTATTTTACGGATGATGCGAGTGCGAGTACTATATTGAATATTTACAAGCAAATGAGCAAAAATTTTGACTTTACTAGCCGACAATAGGCTCAACAAATGGCATTTAACGTTGTGTTTACCGAAAAACTCTTTGCTCGCTATTGTGCAATATAATGATCCTGCCTATCAGGCGCACTAACTGTTTGTTAACGCGGCTGTGTTGGTTAGTATCTAAAATATTATAACGAGCGTCTTTTTGCGTAGTCACTAATAACCGTAGCTAGCAATATTTAAAAAAATACATTTACGTGAAGACAACACTATATTAAATAAAACTATCAATTTGAGTTTCCTTTGTTTGAATGTTGCCGATGTTAGTTTTCCCCGGGCCAACGGGTACAATATTATTGATTTGCGGCAACTTTCAAAACTTATTGGTGTTTATGCTTTGGCTAAGAGTAGTTCGGTCGCACTCGCACGCACTTACAACGTCTGTTTACAAATTATCGTCGTGGCGGGCCTTCGCAAGCTAACTAACAGAGAGGCGATATTTACTATGTGGCTTTTAACTCAAAGTGTGCACAACAAGACTTTGATTGCCACCTAAGTCGCTGGTTGACTGAGCGCAAGGTCAATGTTTAGAACCGGCGTTTTGAACAATCATAAACGCTGTAGGTTCTTTTTCGTTGGGCGCCATGTAACGGGGTTCATAACCGTCTTTTTATTTATGAGCGTGATCGCATCGAAGAGCGCGCGAGATCATCCAAACGTTCAAATTCATAAACCGGAGAGCAGGAGGGAACGGGCGTCAGTCAACCAACTTTCTACTAGCGCGAAATAATAACATCAAAGTTGCAACCAATATCACATTCGAGATCGTTTATTTCCTCTTATTTCTACAATGTATTAGGCCCGCGTGTTTATGTTTACAAAGCGCGCGCGCGACAATAACATGCAGTGTCGGATCGGTCGCCGCTCTTTGTTCGCCAAGTTAATACATACACGCTTCTTATGGAATACGAGAGATTAGTTAGTAGCAATCATAGCAATCGCGAAATTAAGCTGGCCAGCTTACCTTATTAGCAGTCGCACGGTGAACGAGAGAAAAAGTTCGTGATTAAGTCTCGGGGAAGTCCGCGTCTATGACCAAGCGGTTCACGCTTTCGGTTTCGCTCTCGATGGCGAAACCCCGCACTCACGCACACTTGCACGCACTCGTCTCAGTCAGGCGAAGGCACAGCTCCTGTCGATCCTTACCAGCTCGTCTCGGCACTCAGGAAAACTCGGGAAAAACTCTAATTATCACTAGCTGCTGTGGAGCGTTCGGGTTCTAATCTTCGACTGGTTTATTTTCATACGCGCCCGTTCCGTCTCGTCTCGTGCCGAATTCCCTCATTACATTTTGCCCAACCGGTAGTTGCGGCCCTCGCAGGCAGCCGCATAGTTAGGCTGTTAGCGCTAATAAGACGTTGACCGTCACAATTTCTTGGTGAAATTCTTGCTTACTTTCAGGAATTCAATTAACAAATCAATGTTAAAGTTTGAACTTAATTTTTATAACATATTCTTGTAATATCGTTACATGATATATTATAATATATTTCAGATTAGCAATTCAGTTAACTCAGAAATTAATTGAATGACCCTCACAATCAGTCAACTTTCTTTTACCTGATATTATTTATTTCAATTATTACAAAATATTATATACGATATTCATTATTTTGATAAAATATTGATTTTATTGGTTTATACTTACAATCTCTTTTGTCGACAGAGAAACATAATAAAATCTATAAAATACGCAGGAATTATGTGGAAAAAAAAAACAAATAGATTGTGAATAAATTTACTTCCACGTATATCACCGTCTGGATACCAAATAGCACCTTCAAAAGGATAATCATAAGCTACCGATTTTCCCTTTTGTAAAACCTCACCCCATGTAATTGGTATAACACCGTTCTGAGTAATATTATAAACTGGAATTTCATCTGATCTGAAATACATTTAATACGTAATTATACAACTAAACATTCTTTAATTGATTCATTATTCAAAATATAATAAAATCCTTAAAGATTTCAAATATTGCATTGAAAGATACCTCGATGTTGTCCCGGTTTTATAAGCTATAGCTATCAATGCATTTATCGCTAAATCAACAGGAATAACTTCTGCATGAAAATCCGGATTGCAGTGCATTGAGCGAATGACACCTTTACCAGCTCCAACTATCAATCCTACAGGTCCATTCAAATTATCAACCCAACCTGGTAATGGTTCAGACCAAGCCGGAGTAACTGTAAAAAATAAAAATTAGTTATATTATATAAAATAATCACAAAATATTAAGTTACTCAATGCAAAATAATAAGTTGCTACGATACAAGGTATGTCCAAAAAGTTAGGTGAATTTTTATTTTCATGAAAAAATATTTATTGATTCATCAAGATTTATGTTGTCCCCTTCAAAGTAATCCCCCTTAGATATAGCACACTTGTGCCAACGTTTTTTCCAATCCTCGAAGCACTTCTGGTAAGCATTTTCTGGTATAGCCTTGAGTTCTTTCAGTGATTTTTTCTTTATCTCTTCACTCGTTCCAAACCTCCGTCCTTTCATGGGTTTCTTAGGTTTTGGGAACGGGAGAGAGTCATAAGGGGTCATATCCGGTAAATATGGTGCCTGAGGCATGATTGTGGTTTTGTTCTTTGCTAAAAAGTTCGATACAAGGAATGATGAGTGAGCAGGTGCATTATCGTGATGCAAAATCCATAAATTGTGTTCCCACATTTCCGGACGTTTTTTTCGTATTGCTTCTTGCAAACAGCGCATAACTTCAAGGTAATACTTTTTATTGATCATATGACTTTGTGGTAAGAACTCTTAATGTACTACGCCACGATAATCAAAGAAAAGAGTGAGCAAAACCTTGACATTTGATCGAACTTGATGTGCTTTTTCCGGTCTTGGTTCTTCTGGAGTCTTCCATTGGGAAGATTGGGCTTTAGTTTTGATCTCATAATCATAAAGCCATGATTCGTCACCAGTTTGAGCATATGAGAATTATCATTGACGTTGTTTAACAAAACTTGAACGATGCTCCTTCAACAGTCCTTTTGTTCAAAATTAAGCAGTTTCGGAACAAATTTCGTTACTACACGTTTCATGCCCAAAACTTCGGAAAAAATTGTATGGCACGAGCCAACAGAGATGCCGACATCTTCAGCCACTTCTCTAACAGTAATTCGACCATTTTTAACACCATTTGTTTCATTTCTTCAACACTTTCATCAGTTATTGAAGTGCTGGGGCGTCCAGAGCGAGGTTCATCGTCGGTGTCTTCTCGACCATGTTGAAAGAGTTTATACCACTTGTAAACATTTTTTTTAACTCAAATTAAACTCATCGTATGTTACTGTCAATATTTCAAGTAATTTTGAGCACTTAATTACATTTTTTACAGAAAATTTTATGCAAATCCTTTGATCCATTGTTTTCGACAACTTCTTACAAAGGCAGGCAAATATTTAATCCAAACATAGTGAAACTTGTTGGAAATTGATTCTACATCGTGAATAATTTGGCTTTTATCATCATCATATTCATCAATATACTCTTTTCAAATTAGAAGAAGTTTAACATGTTTGAATTTCTTTAAGCTAGTTATATGATATGGTGACACTTCAAATTTTTTTCTGTACTTTTTAAGAATGTATACGTTTATAGATATGTCATTTAACTATTCAAATTTTGGAATACTTTGTACTTCTACAGGAAACGTTAGAAAATCGAATTTCAATTCTTTTTCTAAGCGTGTATAATTACTAGTTCTATAACTGTAGTTTTTATAACTATCAGTAGGATGAAGACAAGATAGTACAGCCCATTTGAAACATTCATTGTCGGTATTCTTAACATTAATACAAGGTTTTCTCATTTCTATGGCCTTAAGTAATGGAATATACGAGCAAGGTTTGAGAGGATTGTGTTTATTTATGTTATTTGCAAGCCTAATGACCAAGTCTTTAATGACCAACCAGATTCTCTTTCTTGAAATTCTTTAATATTCTTAGGTAAAACAATTTCAATATTTGTTTCAAACCATTCCGTTAGATCACTACTTTTATTAATGCATTGATTTTTAGTGTTAAAGTATTTAAATTGAATATGCTCTTCATTATTCTTTACAATAATAAACAGAGCTGAAAATTCCATATTTATCTTCAATGCATTGTGGATAGCTAGAAGCTTTGGTATTTGTTTTTGTAAAAGTTTGTTTGCTCCATTTAAAAAAGGCTTATATCGACAGGATGCTGATTTGCGATAACTATAGTATTAATACGATTTTCAAAAGCAGAATGAATAGGTCTCAAAACAACACCATCTCCTTGAATTTCATCTATATTTAATTGTTATGCCTGAATAGTTCCACCGACTTTAATGAAATTATTAAATTGCATTTGTAGGACTATCAAGTGTGTAGCACAAGTTTGACCTCTTTGTAGTATTGTTCGAGATAAATTACTCAGCTTCAAATATCAAGTGTCGCGGTAGCGGCACGCAGGCGAGTAGGTTGATGGCCGCACCGTAACAAACACTATATACAAAAGTATGGCATTTTTGGGCTCCCCAGAGAGTCTTTCATCGTCTTCATAGCTTCCACGCATGATATGGTGATGTATCATACGATGGATCGAAAGTTGAGATCAGCATCTTTCATTTAAAAAAAGTTTCGGTTCGATCAGTGCAGTTTCAACAAAGTTATTCCCAAAATAAGATTTTTAACTTGTTCATTTTTAGATACACATTCCTGTCTCACGCAGATTTTGTCTCATAGCACGTGACCACCATCACGTGACTGCTAACCAAAGTGCATATATATATATATATATATTATATTTACTATGTTGCGAGATATCGCAAACTTCACGCTGATGAAAAGTAAGATGACTGGCTTATGCTTGTTTTGATCAAAAGTCGTGGTCAGTCGTGTTTTTTTTGTTATACTTTTGCATCAAGTACGGGAGAATTCATTTGGCTCACCTTTAATAGTTTCGTCGATCGATTATATGTAAATATGTAAAGTATATGTGTTTATTTATACTTATTAGTTTTAATTTATATAATTAACAAAAGAAAAATTAATTTATATAATTAACAAAAGAAAAATCAGTTTCGACTGATACGAGTGGCAGATAAAAAAGGTTAAGCGAACGATACATACACGAGAGTAGTCCATGATACTACCTTTGAAAACCCCGGTTTTATAGTATTTTGATGAGTTTATTTTTTTTTTTATTACATCAAATCAAATTATTTTTTTTTATCACATCAAATGATTAAATTACATCAAATCAAATTATTTTTTTTTATCACATCAAATGATTAAACGATCTATATATTTATTTGTTATTGTCAAATTATATATTTATTTGTTTTACAATCTAAACAATTTAATTTTTCTATTGCTGAATGTTTTGTTGATCAAACTGAAAAAAAAATTTGTTTGCAGAGATTATTATTATTACGTATAGGGTGGCTCAGTCTTGTTTCATCAAACATCTTTTCATAGATATCACTACAAACCACAATGCTTGTGAATTCCTTAGGAGAGATGATAGACTACACAACAAATGAAAGCATAAAAGATATGATTGAAGCAAACGAGGATGACAATACTGTGTAAGTTTTCCAATCAATGTTTTGTTATTGTATACCTGTTTTGTATATCTGTTATTTATTTTATTAGTTTAACTAACCAAGGTTGATTATTTGTTTTTTAGTGAGTTTATCGGATATGTTGTTCAAATATTGGGCACTGTGGATGTTAATGGTGAGAAGTTGTTCAAAACAATTCTCTCCAATAGCTCAATGCGAATCTTGCTGTTGATATGGGATGCAAATCTGGTTGAAAAGTTACGTGGAGAACTTACTTATGGAAAGGTATACATACACACATACATAATAATAATTAAATTTCTGATAATTCTTTTTGTTTGTGATTGTGATATATTCATATAATTATAATTAATATAATAAAATGTTCAGATTCTTCATCTTGATGCTTGCAATGGCAAAGTGGTGAAAAGTAAATTCCATCGTATTCACCAGTTGGAAGATTTGGAAATTATCATTCAGCCTGGATCTATTGTAAAGTCACGTGGATTTCATGTTTCTGAACAAGTATCAGAAGTAATACGCACTATTGATTTTAAGGAAATTGCAAAAGCTTCTGGAAAGATTAGTAAGTACATACATTCATGAAATTTTGTATCAATCGAGTTTATATCATTCTTTTTTATTTTATTTTGGGCTATACATATTATTTATATTTTACTTTACTAATTGTTTTCATTTTTATTTTATGAAATTACAGTGGTGAAAGCTTTTATAAAAACCGTTGTCACTCCGGCTTACAATAGAGATGGTATTCTGAGCTTTGGGAATGGATCCATAACTGAAGGAGTGCATAAAGTTGCTATAAAAGTTACATCATTTAAGCAAGAGGAGTCAAAGTTAGAAAAAGGTTCATGCGTTATGGTTAGGGGTACTGTCTCCCGTACAGGTATTTTTTTTTTTTATTTCTATTAATAATAAATGATTGCTTAGTTTTTTTTCTTTTTATAATTGATTCATGAATTATTTATTTGATTTTTTCTAAATCAATAAAATTTGTCTATGTTTAGGTAAACTACTTCTAATATGCCAAGATCTGAATTGCATTACAATTTTGAATGAGCCAAAATTAGACGAAGCCATCGTTTCAAATGCAAACAGGCTACTGAAACGCTGGGATCCTAAGGAGGAAGATTCCGAAAGAAGAATGGACTTCAATTCAATGCAAATAAATAACTCAGAAAAAAAAAGAAAGAATAAGCATAGAGCATCTTTTCTTCTTTCAGTTTTTTTCAGTTTTTGGATTTCTTTTTATTTTTTTTCTATTAAATTAAAAATTATTTATGGTGACGCATGGTAAAATACAGCTTGACTTTTTTTTTAGTATTGATATTCATTTGATATTTGATTTGACATTCTTATAATAATTAAAAGTATTTTACTGTAGAGTAAAAAATAATAATATTTATCAAGGTATGTAGTGTTTCAAAATATTATACAGGGTGTCCCATTTTAATTTACCACCCCCTAAAACAGGTTAATAATTTGCTCTGAGAAAAAAATGTTTCAAATAAAATTTGTTGGGTTCGAAGGGGGGCATCTTTTGGCTATTTTAGCTGCAACCTTGAACATGACCTTCATGGTCATTTGAAAGTCAAGACCAAATTTTCATATGAAATGTAC